TTTTTACGTAATTATGAACAATCAAAATAAAAATTCTTGTTTATTTAATCTGTAATAACTTGATAAGAAAAAATCTTAGAAACATTTATAAAAAATAATTTTGTAGGGAAAACTAAGCTCTTTTACGTTAAAGTTGAAGATTTTCGCAAGTATTTTTTGGGTTTACGACGATATATTTTTGCAGCCTTCTCAATTTTAGAAATTTTTTTTACACAGATTTTTTTACATAAGATATAAAACTGTCATGAAAATTATATATTGTAATTAATTTATGCTATTTTGCAGATATTTTCCGATATTAAAATTTATGTTCGCTTTCCTGCTTCCGGTGATGTTGCCTGTGTATGCATGGAATGAAACTTGGTACAGAGCTTTCGTGTCTCAGAATATTATTCGTTACGTTATCCTTTTAAATGCCATATGGAGTGTCAACAGTGCGGCTCATATTTGGGGTTCAAAACCATATGATGCGTAAGCAGATAATTAGTATCAATATTATTCACACATAATAAACTTGATCAGAAGACATAAAGCTTTTTGTTATTTTGTATTGCCTAAGAATAATTTTGTTTATTTCAACGGCAGGCATATAAATCCGACAGAGAACCGATGGGTTAACTTGTTTACGGGCGGTGAAGGACTACACAATTATCATCATGTTTTTCCATGGGACTATAAGGCTGCCGAGTTACACAGTTCCCCAACCACAGCTTTTATTAACTTCTTTGCGAAAATTGGGTGGGCGTACGATCTTAAAGAACCGTCGAAGGAACTCGTAAAAACCGTCTTGAGGAAAAGGGGTGATGGAAGTCATTCTTTGTGGGAAGCTGTGCCATATTCTGCCATAAGTAAAATTGAATAAAAAAAGTGATAAAGAATTATCTCATTTTTATAATAGAGTTTTTTTTAATCAGTTAACAAATGGACGCACAGAAACAAAAAAACTAAATTTAAGTAAATTTAAGTAAATATTATATTTATCAATTTACAAGTGACTCACAAAATACAAATACAAAATACAAAAGGCATGCAGCCACATGCAGGATGTATTTTGTAAATGTCATATATCTATTAAAAATTCTTACGTTGACAAAAACAATTTCATAAATGTTTCGGCCCACATCAGGCCATCCTTATGCAATATAAATAATTTATTACTGGATATCTATTTGCCTAGTATTAAAGAATATTCCCCCCTTCAATTGAAATAATTTTAATCCCCTCCAATAAGCTCCCTTTTTCTTTCCATGATAGATATAACTTCTGACACACTGAAAGTGATCCGCAGATATCATACAACTTTTACAAATAAAAGTATTTCGGTCTCTTGTCATCACTTTGTCTTTCATATAGAAAGAAAATCTCAGTATAGATAGCGAACAATGTAAGGATTGTTGTAACAAACACAGGTAGGTACGTAAAATATCCCATTAAACATCGTTCTGTAACATTTACTTAATCATTACGGAACGATGTTCCACTATTATGTAACAGTTACGTTATTTTCAGATCAAAATGTCATCACATTTTATTATTATATTATATGTAATAAAGTCGAAAAAAGAGAGAAACATACACCTAACAGTTACATATAAATAACGTAACATTATTTATAAATAACACAGTTACGTAACATTTACGAAGTTTTAAGAGAATGAAAATTTGTTACTCAAATTATGTGAATGTTACGTTAACTATATATCGAAACAGTGGCTTATACGAAGTTAGCCCCCCACTTTTTGAATTCAATTAATATTCGAGCACAATGTAGCACAAACCTAGCACAATTCAGCACAATATTTACTCAGATTTGGTAAATTTTTTTCAGTGCGCGATTAAAAAATTCACAGGTGTGTTTGTTAATATAATAATATAAACTTAAGTTTTTATTTTTTATGCTGTAATATTTCTTTGAACTTTCGTTGTCTAAACGAAAATTCGAAAATTCAGGTGAATATTCAATATTAAATTATTCGTTAGAAAGGTAAACGGAAGGAATCGGCTTCCCTCCCTAAAAAATATTGATCTAACAGGGACTTATCAGTCAAATACGCCGTAGTTCGTCACTCATGTTTCATGCAGCGACTAAAAGTATGACAAAGCGTATAACATCAGTGACCCGGTTGGACTAGCGAAGTTACTTTTCATGTAATTTTTTATTATTTTTAGTCTTTATTTCGATATGTAAAGAATGTGAATTACATACATTAACGATGCATTACAATTTGACTAACAAGGAGAGGCTACGTACTGCTCTTTACCGATTTTGATCAAAATTGCGGCGATGTTAGAGAAGCTTATCAAGTGAACACCTGTAAAGCCATTCCCACTAATAAGTCTTAGAAGCCGAGTAAAGAGCATTTAAAAATATACCAAAAATCTGAAAATAGTAGTCTAATATAATATTCTTGAGGCTTTCACGGGTGTTTCCTATACTGTATCAGGCTGCTCCTCGCCCTGATGAAGTGGACTGCAAGGTTCACGAAACGTTGGCATTCCAAGAATGGATTTG